GATAATTACAGGGTCCTCTGGCCCCGCAGGTTACACGAAGCCCTTTTGGGGTTTCAATGGACCTTGGGGCTTAGCAAGGACTGCTCCAGCCATTTAAGACTTATGTTACCATGATACAGAAATCGGATTATTTACTATAGATCCCTACTATGGAAACTTAAGTTAAAGTCCTTACCAAGAACCCAGTTTCGCTTCAAGGTCGGACGATGTGAAGAAGATGCTGAGGTTTTAGTCTTCGCAGCTTGGGGTTTAAGCTTTGTGGCCTGGGAGTGACAGTGTAGGACACCTAGGTTCAGGGGCTTCGACCCCCGCGAGACATACCTGAAACCAGCAGAAGAAGCCCTCATAGCCCTCGATAGTAGTTTACGGTATATTCCTCCTGATTCTAGGGCGTACTTCGCCTTCAGGGAATCCTGGGACACTAAACGCCAGAACCCCTGAAACCCTGCGAAGGGCCAGACCCACCCCACAAATGAAACGCTTCAAGGTTTACGGCTTAAGGTCTAAATAGAAGGAAGCCACAATATGGAACCCGAAAATACAGGTTGCTTAAGATCCTAACCCCAAGCCCTTAACCCTAAGCCCTAAGGCCCTAAGCCATAACAACCCGACTAAACCCTAAAGACCTAAGCACCAAGTCCGCCTCAACCCCTGCACCGGCGGGGGCGTTGCCTCAGTAATCGTCCGGTAGCTGGGACTCCTCGCTGTAAGGCTTATAGGGTTTAGGGCTTCAAGATTTAGGGTTTATAGCGATTGGAGTTTAGGGGTTCAGCCCGAACCTTAAACCAAGACATTTCAGGAGAAGGCCCAACTCATAAACTGCCTGTGGCCCCAAAACCTAATAAAATAATTCGGGGGTTGTGAGGCAGATTTGGATTCAGATTGTGTCTGCATGAGTGCACATGGTGTCGAACATAGAAGCCCAGATAGCCCTTTTTGCCGAAATTGGTGGCAGAGAGGCACAAGCCGAAAGGGCGGCAAGGTCACTTCAGAGATAAGAGGTGCTCAGCCCAAAGCAGCCCCTGGGTCCTAAACCCTGAACCCGCCTGAACCCTGAATCCTAGACCCTTTCCCTACATTGGGACATGGATTTGCAACGCCTGCGCCGCGCCTCGGATCTGACTGAGGAGAACCTCGCGGCTCCTCTGCGAAGAAAGTATCTTGGGTGCGGGTTTAGGGTTCAGGGTTTCGGGGGTGTAGGGGTTTAGCGCGCAGGAGTTTGGAGTTTGGGGGTTTAGGAAAGTTTAGGGCTTCGCCTGGACAGGTTCAGTCTTCCTCATAGCCTTCGTGTCAATCGTCATCATCAGTCATCACCGCCACCTTCCTTTTCCTCCTCATCATCAATCGTCATCGTATCACAACCGTAGATATTGCCAGCTTCCTCATGAACACGCTTCTGTCGCTAACCCCCGAGCCTAACCGTCCTAATTGGATGCAATCATACTTGTCTGTCCTCGCGGTGGAATTGAAAGTTCAGCGCCACCAACATCATCACCATCAGTATCATCACTGCCAAGGGAGCCGTCACAAGCATCGTCAGCCTGTATGTACCACTGCGCTGATGAAAACAATCGCACGAAGCAGTCAGTCAGCATACAATGAGCAGTTATGAATGCGTGGGGATTTGATCTTGATGATGTTCCTTGTCGCTCACCCCACAGAGCTATATCGAATACTGATGTGGTTGCCTTCTACAAACTCAATCACTGTCTCTCTCACTTCCACACGCAAGCTTCACTCCCAGTGCAGGCAGATCCAGAACTCGCTTGTTTTGCACCTTCGCGGCCAGCGATGGATCGTCTGTGCTCGGGATGGCTCTGTCCCTCGGAAAGGTCACAGAAGACGATAGCTAGTTCAGCTATTGGCAATGCTTTCTAGAGCTTGTGCTCATTCTTGAGCCAAAGTTGCGTGGGCGGCAATATGGTAAAATGGTTCGGCATTGCGGCGTGCGTAGCACTTCCACAAGCCTACACCTAGAGATGAAGGACGCGTAGCGTGCCTTCACTCTTGACCTTTACATGGCCATGCTCACAGCTCATATCGTGACACCATAGAACTTGACTAGGCATCGCAGTCCGTTCGCACCCCCCATGCGTTGCGTCTCCGACGCTGCTCACCCGGAAGATGGCGCGATAGGAACACTAGGGATTAGTCCGCCGCAACTTTGAAATATGGAATCAGAGCCTTGCATCCCAGTTAGAAATGGTGTGACACTCATCTACGTCAGTGACGATCCCCTGAAATGACAAACGAATCAGGCGTCACCGAAGAAAGAGGCATTCGCAATGAAATTCATGAGCGAAGCGCAGAGGTCACGTACTGGATGGAATTGCCGATGACGTGTTGTCCCGCAACCATTGACGGGTAGCCGCGGGATCTGCTGCAGGATCACGTTCCCAAGGCCTGAGATTTTCTTCTGGGTACGGAGACCTGCCGTTTCCCTTGGCTTTCCCCTTGTTTCTGCTCTTCCCTTCGATGTAGTCATGGTAAGTGTTGGCATTCCAACCTCCATGTCTTCCACCTCCTCGTTGGCGAGCTTTCGGGGCGGCCTTGGCTGCGGCGGCACTTTCAGTCTCTTCTGCCGTGACAGGTGTGTCCATGATGGAGGTCTGTCCGCGCGGAAGATACTCATCGGCTGAAATATGGTGTAATGCTCCAAGACGACGTGCCTTGGGATTCCGTTCTCTTTCAAGCCTGCTGGCAGTGAGCTTCTTCATGAAATGTGACGGCATCTGAACGTTGTGATCCACAAGCAATCCGATGGTTTGCACGGAATGATCCGTGTGCATCAGGAGGATCCCAACTGGGTCGATGTACAGAAACTCCACTGGTCCAGTCGGTGTAGGTCGAAGAACAGAAAACTGCGAATGTCCTGTCACCATGGGAATAATTTCGCAAAGAACGTTCAAGCAGCAGAAGTGCATGACTTTCACGTCACTTTCATTCTTCAGGTAAGTGCTTGGATTGAAAACGTCCCTGTTAATTCCCATCATGTTCGCACCCCGGATCAACAATGAGATCAGTTGGTTCGTTCGGAAGTGCTTGAGAGTGTACGTCCCGTTGGGATCATACTGCTTGGTGTCCTCCCTTTCCTTGGCATAGCGAATGATCTCTTCATCAGTCACCTCCCTGCTCACACCGGTCTCGGAGTCCACTTCCGCCAGTTCATCCCATTTCCAAGCACGTCATAGCGTTGGCCCTGGGAGAAACTCTCTTTCATTTGGAATAATGGCATCGTCGCCCACTTTGCCAAACCTGACCATGTCTTGTGAATGCACCTGCAGACCACAAACGCCATGTAGGAGAGAGCAGCCATGTTAGCATCAATGCAATGGGCATTTCTCCTGTTATGGTAGTAGGGCGGTTGCATAGCAGTGCGGGCGATCTGCAGCTCAGGGTCGATGTTCAAAGAATGACCAGCAATGAGGACAGGACGACGTTCCAGTGCCACACTTTCAGGTACCTCATCGTCAAAGTCCTCCATTGGTTCAGTGTCCATCTCCTCATCGGGCTCCTGCTCTGCATCTTCTTCTCCGATGATGGAAGCGTCGGGGATGCCTGCGGGTTCTGCCACCGTTTCGATCTCCATGGCCTCTTGTTCCTCAGCAGTTGTCTCGGGTACCGCTGCGGCTGCAGCCTCCATTGTCTGGGCAATGACCTCACTGGGGATCTCCGTAGGAGTCTCCCGTTGTGAGGTGTGGATCGTCTGTGCTCGGGATGGCTCTGTCCCTCAGAAAGGTCACAGAAGACGATAGCTAGTTCAGCTATTGGCAATGCTTTCTAGAGCTTGTGCTCACTCTTGAGCCAAAGTTGCGTGGGCGGCAATATGATAAAATGGTTCGGCATTGCGGCGTGCGTAGCACTTCCACAAGCCTACACCTAGAGATGAAGGACGCGTAGCGTGCCTTCACTCTTGACCTTTACATGGCCATGCTCACAGCTCATATCGTGACACCATAGAACTTGACTAGGCATCGCAGTCCGTGCGCAATGAAAGACTGGCCAATCTACACAACTACAACTAGAAGAACCAGAAGCACAACTTGAAAAATGGAAAGGATGAGAAGAAGCAGAAGAGGAGGAAGAAGGACGACGATCCCTCACCCCGAACATAAGCTCGGAAAACAACACCCTGAACCCCAAATCCCCAAGGTCTAAACCCCTCACCTCTAAAACCAGAAACCCGAACAGGTCTGGAACACAGACACACGGCTTTACGGTAACCCTCAAGAAACGATGCCGAGCCTGAAGACCACGTCATGAACAACACAAAAAGCCACAGTTGCAGCCTGCAAAACAAGTTAAACACGAGAGCCTCCGCCATGACCAGCGGTGGCAACGGCATCTTTTCTCCCAAGCTGAAGCCGAAACAAGCAGCAATGAAATCTTCGGTGTTGAGTTGAAGGAGGCTCAGTAGTACCCTCGCAGTTAAACTGTTAGACGAGGGGTTCTGATCTATGGTGATACCAGCGCACCAGTTGTTAGACTAGGCTTTTTGTTGAATGGAAGTCGGTGAAACCACATATTGAAACCAGGAGCCCCGGAGGATGTTTGCATGTGCAAACTGTTCAGGACCCTCTGTTGAAGTTTCTGGTCTGGGCATTTTAGGTTTGCACGCTGCTCAGGTCTACTTAAGCTTCGTCTACGGGTCCAAGACAAAAGTACCTCAAGGAAACTAAGCTGAGTTCAGTTTTAGGGTTTCGTGTTCAGGGTTTACGTTTACGGTGTGCTTCAAAGGTCAGGGTGTGGTGCTTCAGGGGTTATGCCCTCTAATCATCAGAACCTAAGGCTACTGAACCTGAAGGATCATGCCTGGTATTGCCGTGAGTAGGGTAAACGAAATTTAGAACCTATGTCGCAACCCTAAGCCTTGTTGTTATTAAGCCTCTCCAGTTTTGATATCATTGTCATCATTATTAACATCCTTGCTATCGATGAAACCCTAAACCCTAAACTCTAAACCCTAAGCCCTGACCTCCATTATTCGCTTTTTTCTCGCTTCAGTTGTCCGGTAGGTCGGGGAAGACTTTGTCCCACTGGTACTTTGCCAGCTCCTCTCCTGAGCGGCGCACGAAGAGACGGGCTCATTTAAGGGGCTCTTTGGGTTTGGGGTTTAGGGGCTTAACTAGGCTTTAGGGTTTAGGGTGTTTAAGGGGTTTGGGGGTTTGGGGTTTAGGGTTTCGGGCTGTTTTCCCGTTCCTATGCGGAGTTTAGGGGGTTTAGGGGGCTTCAGATTTCGAGGGTCACCGCAAGAAGTTCCATCAGGTTTAGGACTTTAGGGTTTAGGGGTTGAGGGTGTGCGGCTTAGGGCTGCGTATGGGTTTAGTAAGTCTGGCCCTCTGGGACAGCTTCGGGGCTTTTTGGGTTTGGTGATGGTGTTTATAAACTGTGGTTTTTACATAAGGTGTTTAGGGTTGGGGGAATGTGCTGGTTTGTTGGTTGTCTTTGTTGGATAGTGCTTTGCGATTTGGAACCTCGGCTTCCGGAGTTTTGGGGTTTTAGGGTTTGGGGCTCCAGTATGTGCCGTCTGAGTTCGGGGTTTGGTGTAGGTTTTGGAGTTTGAGGCTTGGGGAGGGAAGCAAAGGGTTTTCGGTGAGCCTTGTGAAGGATAGTTGGCAAGCTAGAGGTGCTTTGTCGAGGGTTTATGTGGCTTGCTTTGGCTACTGAACTCAGGAACTCTGTCAGAATGATTCTGGTGTTGTTTTGCTTTCAGGTTTTCAATGCGGTTTTCAGAGACTACCAGATCTCCTCTGTTTAGGATCCTTACTTCTGCTCAACGTCAGCATAGGAGTCTGAACTATGAGTAGGGTGCTTACTTTCTACTATTCCCCGAATCCCGAGTATCATTACTAAGGCCCACGTAATGCCATAATTCAGAGAGGCAGTCCGGAGGGGTTCTCTAGTCTCTGGGATTGGGGAATGCTTTATGCTGAGGTTCATGAGCGAGAATCGCCCCGAAACACTGGCACAAGGACTTCGGGAGAAAGTGGCAGATTCAGAAACGGAAAGAGCATGATCGTTCCGGAGTAAAGCTGCAAAGACACCTTACACGAGCCTTATCGAAATCTTAGGTAAGCAGCAACCGGATGGAGAAAGTGGGTTCGGGGCTTAAGCGGCTTCAGGCTTTTAGGATTTCGTGTTCAGGGTTCGAGTGTAGGGTTGGGGGTTTCAGGGCACAAGTAAGCTTACAATGTGATTCGGATAACCGGCCACTTACAACTAAAACAAGACGGAAGAACACCCGGAACCTCGTTCAGCCCAAGACCCTGCATAAAACTCCCTAAGCCCGGTTGGGAGTCCGTACGCCCGCGTACGACGTGATAATGGCCCATTAAGATAGTCCCATGAAGACCTGCAAAATAGCGCACACAGACACGCACGGCTTAACCCGAATCTTCATCAACCCTGCTTTAAGCACCCTGTGAGGCTCGGGCGGTAGAGCTCGTATTCTCGGGGCTCTTGGCGCTCGATAATGCGAAAAGCGCCCTGGACGTCAGTGGCTCAGAGAGTCGGAGCTTAAGTCTAGTTGAAAGTTCAGTGGCCTGGGTTTGGGGCTAGGGTTTAGGGTCTAGCGGTCTGGCGAGCATTTGCCTTCAAGGTCACCATCATCAAGACAATTCTTGCAATGCCTTGAGCTTCTCCGAAGATGGCATTCGCACACCCTCAACCCTGAAACCACGGGGCTTGTCGAACCCCTCATTCGGTTTAACCCGAAACAATTAACAACAGTTGGAGCCACCGACTAGCCGGCAAGCCTCATTGCCAGACAAGGCATCACACTTCTTCAGCTCCAACGTTCCTGCTCCAGGCACGACCGTATGTTCAAAGCAGCTCCCTTTCAAACAAAAATTCTGTTGGTACTGTTCAACCATGAAAGACAGCCCCAACACTACAACAACCCCCAAACCCGACACACTAAACCCGGTCAGGTATGAAGACTTTAGGACTGGAGGAGCTTTACACAGTTGTAACAGCTTGCGAAGTTTAGGATTAAGTTTCGGGGGGGTTGAGGCTTCTGGGTTTCGAAGTTTGCTGGTTTAAGGCTTTGGCTTCTGCTTTCGACGCTTGTTTCTCGAGTTTTGAGGGCCGTGGGATGAAAGGTTAAGCATAAGTGCCTGCGGGTTTATGGTTTTGCTGTCAAACTTGCGCAGTACACCCCAACTAAACGGTCATGGTGGAGGGTCGAGCGACGCCACAACTACTACTACTCCTGCTGGTGCTACTACTGCTGCTGCTACTACTACTGCTGCTGCTGCTGCTGCTACTACTACTACTACTACTACTACTACTACTACTACTACTACTACTACTACTACTACTACTACTACTTATGAGTTTACTGCTACTGCTACTGCTACTGCTACTGCAACTGCTCCTGCGCCTGCTCCTGCTGCTGCTCCTGCTACCACTACTACTACTACTACTACTACTACTACTACTACTACTACTACTACTGCTGCTACTGCTACTGCTACTGCTACTGCTGCTACTACTACTACTACTACGACTACGACTACGACGACGACGACGACGACTACTACTACTACTACTGCTACTGCTACTGCTACTGCTACTGCTACTGCTACTGCTACTGCTACTGCTACTGCTACTGCTAATGCTACTGCTACTGCTACTGCTACTGCTACTGCTACTGCTACTGCTACTGCTACTGCTACTGCTACTGCTACTGCTACTGCTACTGCTACTGCTACTACTACTTCTGATACTTCTACTACTGCTACTTCTGATACTTCTACTACTGCTACTGCTGCTACTTCTACTACTACTACCACCACCACGACTACTACTACTACTACTGCTACTAAGCTACTACAGCACCAACACCAGCACCATCACTACGACGACGATTGCGCTTGCCAATGCTACGGCTTCCGCTGCCGCTGTTGCTACTGCTACTGCTACTACCACTTCGTCTTGTGTCCGGGATGCATCTGGAACGCCCGCCACTTTTTCATCGGCAGGGGCTCGCTTGACATTTGGTGCCCGTGACCACTTGGCTTTCGATAGGAGCCTGAGAACAGGCTTGCGGCCGCTTGCAGCGTGAAACGGAGTCTTTCCGCGCCTGTCACACATGCTGGTGCGGGCTCCCGCTCTCAAGAGCAAGTCCACGACCCTTACGTGGCCGCGACGGCATGCTTCCCACAACGCGGTTCGTCCGACTTTGGTCGGAGCATCTACGATGGCACCAGCTTTCAGTAAGACGGCTGCAACTTTCATAGCACGTTTTGGCCTGAGGGTTCCTGTCGCAACACAGAGCGGAGTCGCTCCGTAGGCGGTTCGGGCTTCGATGTTCGCCCTGGAATCAAGAAGAACATGCATCACCTCTGTATTTCCTCCAAAGGCCGCTGAGCACAAAGGAGTCCCGAGCAGACCGCATCTTTCGATGCAGGCTCCTGCTCGCAGTAGGCAGTGCACCTCGCACGTGCTTTGGGTTTAGGTTCTATTGTGCAAGTTTAGCTTGTTCTGGGAAAAGCAGCTGACTTCGAAAAGGCTACTCGTGTCAGCCACTCAGAATCCAAGACACCTTCTCCACAGCATTGTGCAGTGTGGCCTCGCAAAGTGGCGGCCAGTGTTCACACACACCCCCGTCTGGGTTAGCACGGGCTTCCAACAGCAGCTGCATGATCTCAATGTTACTTCTGGTGCTAAAGGTAAGAAAACGGTCTGCGTTTGGATCCAAAGGCAGCTGGAGCAACCGTTCAACTTCTGCCACGAAGTCGATCGACATGGCATCGAAGAGATCACCCACTTTGTCTTCCGTGCTAACGAGGCCCAACATCACCTGGGTTTCGACTTCAACAGCCTCAAACTTGCTTAAAGCTGGGGTTCTATGCTAAACCAAGACGGAAACCTTAAAATCACCCCAACTCAGCACCAAAGCCACCAGCTGCAGGTCGCGGTCTGTGGGGAATTCCAGAGATTCGTCATCCTGCAGATTCTCTCCACCGAGGAGGAGCCTCTGACGAAATCGCGGCAGCCCACAGAATCTCTGCAGATGCTTCTTCAAGGCCCGCACGGTCAACCCCTCCGACGGGATGGCGACTAACTCTTCACCAGAAGTTTTCCAAACGCGCAGCATCTGGAACGCCACCAGAAACGAGGCAAGAAACTAAGAAACAAGAAAAGAGATCCTACCCAGATCTGTGGAACTCAATGCGATTCTGCTGCTGCCTCGTGAGCGCCAGGCCCTAAACCCTACACCCGTAGCCTACTAGCGGCCATGGCGGATCTTTTATGGAAGCCGACCTAGGAAACCCCTGAAAGGGATCCTGGTAATGAGGAACTTGCAACTTGTTGCCTGAATAACTTGAACTAGTATTCCCATAATTTCTTGCTTCATGCAAAGTATAAAACCGCACCAAAATCCAAGTCGAATTGTCATATTTAGCCTTTGACAGTTTAAGGCTCCTTCAATTGTAGGAACGTAGGAAGCTCTAGCCTAAACCTCATAATACGAGCCCTATGTTGAAGACTTTTCACAGAACTATTCAGGATTCATGTGGTCCGTAAGGAAAGGCGCACATACAGCACTCGCATGCCGAGCCAGGAATGTTACTGAGCTCAGCGATGGAATCCAAGCCCGTAAAGAACCCAACAAGAACCCTTAAGGAAGACACTCTTCTGGAGTCCGAAACGAACCCTCAAGGAGACACAAGCCAATAACGTTAAGGACACCCCTCGGCAAATCTTGAAAAACTCCTCAAAGAAATGCTCACCGGAAACCTCAACAGAACCGTTGAAGGACGCTTGAACAAACCTATGAGAAACCATGAAAAGCAACCCTGAAGGAATCCAGAAAGAAACACCTAGGGAACCCTTAGAGGAAGCTTTAAATAAAGGAACCCTCAACAAGGAACCCTGAACTAACACTTTCCTGAAATCCCTAATCAGGGCAACCCTTACAGAACTCCTTCAAGAAATTTAAGTAGTTGAACCCTTGAAGAAACCCGGGAAGAAAGCCTTAAATGAAACCATCAAGGAACCCCAGCAACAAACCCGTAACAAATCCCTAAACGGGGTTTGGCTTTAGGTTTTAGGGCTCCAGATACCATATGGTTTTGAAGCATAGCGCGCGACCCTGTCATTCACGAACCCTAAATTGCCATGAACCCTGTAAAACCTGAACCCTCAGCCCCAAAACTCTAGAGCCCTGAGTGAACCCTGAACTCAAAGCTTTGAAACCACGAACTTTACACCCCAAACATGCAAAGTCTAAACTCTTGAATCCTAAATCCCCCACGCCGTAAGCGCCAACCCTTCCAAGCCACACCCCCGGCTGGATCTACAAAGTTGGTCAGGGCTAGAGCTGCGTAAGGGCTTCGGCCTTAATGTTTATTAGGGTCTGGGATTATAGGGTTTAGGTACATGCATTAAGGGTTATAGGATGTTTTTGGATTTGGGTTTGGGGATTCGTTGGTTTTCCTATAGAGTACCGTTTCGTAGCGTAGGAAAGGGTGCTTTCTAGACGCTCCCAGGAATCTCGAAACCTGCTGAATCTCAAACAGACACACCCAAAAAAAACGCAAACCCCCAGAAGACCCAACTATTCGTACTATCGAAGCCCAAACAAATTAGCTAAGCCCGAACTCTGAAGACCCCAAAGCTGATCCCTGCAATGCCAACCTCCACTGCGTGACACCACGCAATCGCCGTCGCCTTTTTGCAGGCGTCCGTCCTCCCAGATTTTGAAGAATGCACCGTAAACCGAAATACGGACTCCTCGAACATTTAAGGTAAATATTGCTTCACTGACGGGTGGTATCCGGACGCGTCTTCTGCAGATTGAGGACAAAGGCGAAGGAAAGGGGTTCTGGGGTTTAGGGGGCTTTGGAATTTGTTAAGGTTTAATTAAGTTAGGGGCCTTTGATGATGAGGGTTTGTAGGTAGGGTTTCAGGGGGGTTTCAAAGATAAGGCTTGAGGATTTAGGGTTTACCTGTTTAGGTTCAGGATTTAAGCGTTTAGGGCTTCGTTGGGTTTAAATTTAGGGTTCAGGTTGGAGGGTTTAAATTTGGAGTGGTTTCGGGGTTTGGGCATTAGAGGCCTTTAAGGTTTAAGGTTGAATGGGTTTGGCGGCTAGCGGTGTCGGGTTTAAGGTGGAGGCATTCAAGGTGTCAGGGTTTAAGGTTTCAGGGTTCAGGGTTCTTGGGCTTATAGGGTCTAAACTGTAAAGTTTAAGGTTGGTAGGGCTTTAGAGCAGGGTTTGGGATTTACTTCTACCACCTGCTGATTTTCACGTGCAGATGTGGCCACCCTTTGTGAAAATTGAGGGTAAGCTGCTACCTCTTCCCATCACCCACTTCCAACTGCAGATGCAGCCGTTCTGACAAACTGGACAAGCTGCTGCCTGTGTCACACTCCTATGATGCTTCCTTCACCTAGTCCAGATGACTAGCGCGAAGGCATGAGCACCAATGCTTTGCAGATCCCCCAGCTCCCCTCTTCCTCCCGCTCCTCTCCTCCTCCCTCTTCTCTCATCTCCTCTCCCCCTTCCTCCCCCTCCCTCGTGCGCTGCTGCAAACCGCACGTCAGGAAAACATAAAAATGATCATACTGCCAGCGGACAATCTACAGATCACGCAGACAAAACAGCACGCATCTGAAGACAAATGCGCGACCATGTGCCAATCACGAGCTACTAAACGGCGCGCACACACACACACACACACACACACACACACACACACACACACACACACACACACACACACGCACATCCAAGCAAGACTGCGCACCCATAGTGGGCAGGATGGCTGAACATACTTCAAAGGAAACTGAGGGTCCAGGGGCTGCAAAAAAGGTTGTAGTGGCTGGCCCCGGAAGGTCGCGGCCACCCCACATAACACCCGATCCATCGTGGCAGAGCGCCGCGAAGGATTCGGTGGTACCTTCGGACATCTCCAGATCAAAACCCCTAAACCCCCACACCCTAAACCCTAAAACCTTAATCCCTAAACTCCTGGCCCACGGTTTTCGGTCAAGTTACTGGCGACAGCCCTTAACTTGGTAAGGAGGCTGAGTTGTCAAAATAGCGAGGCGTTCGGGAGTCTGCCGGCCATAGGATGTGATGCGAATCCCGTCCCACTTCCAACCCCTTCACTCAAACCGGCAGAGCAACCGCTGAGTTCGGCATCCCGAAAGACATGATAGTTCTTTCCAAGTGCCGCATCAGCGCCTGAGATTCTGTGGGCATGGCATGGTGGAATAAATCACATGTCCACAATCTAAGTGTTCTGCTCCGAGGCACAGCAAATTGAGGAGGGTTTGTCCCACAGCTCGGCCCGGCTCCACAGCCAAGACAGGGCCGGCCATGGGTCGAGCCACAGCCAGGCAGCGGCTGACCCATACGTAAGCAGTTCAAGCACGTGGTGATGTTTTTTTGCGCTTCCAGCTGCTTCGGCAGCATCGGAGAACCTCCAGCCATCCCAGCCCAACCCTGGCTCCGAGACAGCACCCTCCGGCTATGTTGGAGGTGGGCTGCAACAAAGTGGAACTCTTGTGAATCTACAGATGCATCTCTCGTCCAAAATCAATTTTCAAGATTTCTTCACCGACATGATTCACAGATTAGCGGTCGCCGTCGGGCCACGGGCACAAGGACTAGGAAAGCAAGTCTCCCCCGAAAGACAACCTACAAAACAACAGTCTTCTTGTGCAAGGCTGCAGGACGACACGGCATTCCTTGGACTTCTGGACCAATTGCTGTCTCTTCCCCTTGGTACCATGTCGACATGTGCTGGCCTGATGATCGCAGGAGCAAAAATGTCCGACTGGCTCCTTTCTGTGCTCCCATTAGAGTACTGCTTCAGCACGAGCAGGCCGGACCTCAATTGCACAATAATTCATCACATTAAGTTCGGTTCCGCAGGCTCAAATAAGGGGAGCACTTGGCGATACTTGGCGTCGCTGTACAAGCGATCTGCACAGACCGAGCATTGCAGAAAAGCCAGACAGAAGAATAAAATGGTGAAGGGCATCCTGTCAAAAGCGCCGGGCCCACCGAAAACATTTTGGGCGGCCACGGTGAGCGCAAGTGCGCAACTAATCTGAGCGAAATAGCTGCATCGCAAAGCAAACAAATGCAAGTTAGGACTTTGCACACACAAGCTCACACACACACACACACACATGCACCGCCCTTAGGAAACAGAACAACATCTCGTTGAATCATGAGGAATACAGGGCTCCGAAGGCAAAGCGCACCACAGAAATTTTGCGGTTCTTGCAGTAAGCGGCGGCCAGTGCTACATGTAACGCAGATGCAGGTTGCAAAGGCTTCGCTGGTGCTGACTGTTTGGACTTCCCACAGGTGAGCTTTGCGGGTCTGCTCGTGCGACATTTTTGACATTGCACATCTGGCATTCCAGGCGCAAAAGCGGCGCGAATCAACAGCATGTCGAGACACTCAGGTTGAAAGGACCCCAGCTCGCGCAACATCAGAATGAGCAGCGAACTTTAAGGCCGACCCTTCCAGAGCAAAAGCCGCCCTACAGTTTTAGGATTTCAGGAGGCATTGCAGTTCTAGATCGTTGTCTGCTGGCGCCCTTCCGGCCTATGATCTCAATTATACTTTGAGTCTCATGATAATCCTTCGATCCAAGTCAGCAAAAACCCAAACCACGTAACATCCTGCCAAATAGCAGCGCTTTGAAGTCCTTCTAAATCTTTTGCACAGCCCTGTACAAATCCTAGACACGACTTGCCCAGAGTCCAGTGGCTGACATTCATCAAAAGCCAGCAAAGGTGGGATGAATGTATGGTGGAAGCCTCCCAAAGAAGAGTACTTTCCCAAGCCTTCTACATTGATCACAACTTCCTCTTGAAACCCCATACTGCCAATAAAGTTACAAAACCCAGAAACCCGTTCTTCACATCCCTATAATCAAACATCTGTACAGGTTGTAAGCTGTATGCAACCTTATTTAAAAAAAACTCTCCAGCAGGAACCCTTAAACTCTAAAACCCAAAAAAATCTCAGGAACCCCTATGAAAAAGGAGACTCAATGTTCCGCTTGTGGGGTTTTACATGGGAACACCAAGGCCAGACCGGACAACACCATTCTACTACCTGGGAACTTGGATTACATTTAGGCTTGTTAATAGGTAGTATCCTAAGTGGGCGTATCCTAATCAGTACACCCTCTTCCTGAAAGGGTATACCTGGGGTTTGGGGCTAAGGGGATGTACCAGGGTTTAAGGTGTTCAGGCTTTAGGGTAGCCGATCTATCTAGACACCCGAAACCCCCAAACCCTGCTCTTACTCCTCGAGGAGGCGGTACTGCTGATTCATGTTGCGACCCATCCTAAGGAGCCAGGGGTTGAGGGGGTTATGTTGTAGCATTACTATATACGGACAGTAAGGTCCTCAGACATATTGGGGGAGATTTTTGCGGAGGAGCTGCAGGTTTTGAGACAACGGGCTGGCTTGCACGTTCTGAGGTTTCAGGCTAAGGGCTCTATGTTTTGGAAAGAATTCAGGGTTTTATGGCTTAGCGCTGAGAGTTGTCGGGTCCAGTTTTGGGTATTTAGGGCTTCGGTTGAGGGTGGGGCTTTTGGGGTTTGAGGGTGTGGGGCTTGGGGTTTTAAGGGTTTCGAGTCTATAGATACACTTGGATGTATAGGGTTCAAAGGACCCAAGGATCTAGAGTTAATAGGCTCCAGAGCTTTAAAGATTTAAACGGCTCAGGGATTCAGTTCCTAAGTGCTTCACAGACTGGAGCTGCAGGCCTGAACCGCAGGGATTAAGGATTTCAGACTTTGCACGCTGATGTCCCAAGATCCTTCCGTTCAAAGCCGCCAACTCTTAAGTCACTAAACCCGAACCCTCAAGCCGAAACCTGGGAATACACCCGAAACCCGAGCTCTGTCTCTGCCTAAGTCCACCACACATCGCAGGAGTAGGGATGCGGGCCACTCTGGGCGGCGGGATGGAAATTGACAGGGCTTTGGCTTAGTCGGGGATCTTACTTATTTTTCACATCCGTGACCGAGGGAGGTCCGAAACCCCACCGTAGATCCGAGAACCCTAAACCCCAAGTCCAAAACCCTGAAAGCCCAAAGCCCAGCCTTAAGCTATATCTGAAACCTCACAAGAGAGACTCAAGCCAGAACCTGGGGTCCTACACCCTCCAAAACCTCACCTTAGGCCCTAAACACCCCTAAACCATATCCACAAGGTTACAAACCTGAACCTCTTGGCCCGAAGCCAAGCTCGACTGCAAAGCACTTATAGGGAGTCTAAATAATTGCCAGATTCTTTTAGGGTTCCTTACCACGAGCCTACTATATTCCGAAAAAGCCTAATCCAAAATTGAGGCCCTGAATAATTCTACAACCAGGTCCGCTGAAATCCCCATTACAGCCTTATTGCCTTATTGCATAGAAGCCATATCTTTCCCAATTTGAGACCTTGAATAAAGAAACCCAAACAGAACCTCCAAGAGAATCCTTACAGAAGCCAAGAGGGAAACCCCGAACCAAGCGACTTTTCAAGGAACTCAACTCAACATCTGCAAAAGGGAGGCTCAAAAGCAACCCTGAAAGGACTCCTGAAAGCAATCTAGAGGGAACCTTTCAAGGAACCTAGCAACAACCCTAAACGCTAAAACCCCAACGAGGAATCCAAGACCCAACAAGGGCTCACCTGGTCGAAGTAGTCGAAGCAGTCGTTCGTACCTGCCGGAGTGCTAAGACGGTCTTCGGGCTTTACGGCTAGAGATTTTTGAGTTGAACTAGGTCTGGACATGTAAAGGTCTTAAAGTTTTGAGTGTTTTGGGATGCAAGTATTGCCTCAAAGGCGCCTGGACTTCGATGTTTCACCTTGCTGCCAAACGTTACAGAAGCAGATAGGTTGCAATAGATCTGTTGGGATTTTCAGCTTTAAGAGGTTCAGGAGTTCGTGGCCACGAGGTCGATTGCAGGCTTTAGGTCTAGGAGTCTCGGATTTAGGGTTGGGGGCCTTTGCAGCTTCAGACGTTGGCACTTTTGGGCTTTGAGGTCTTACGGATTTGGTGATTGCCATATAAACCCCACATCGCGAACGAACCCGAATCTGAAGACCTGAATGCCCTAAACTAAAACCTGTTTCATCCCCTAAGCACATCGTAAGTAGACCCTGCAGCGCTAAAGCTTTTAACCAAATTTCTGGACCTTTTCAAGACTCGATAATTTCGATGGGCTCCGAATACATCACTACCTCGGCTCCACCTCATCCCGGGCTTTTTGATGGGTTGAGGGACCACTCCTACCCCAACGAAGCCCGAAGTTGTGAAGACGTAACCGCTAATCCTTCAACCCGAAGTCCTAAAACACAAAAACACCTCAACCGAACAGAAAAGCTTCAATCCATAAAGAAACGGCTCCAAGAGCCCAGCTCGTCAAATACCCTGAACTCCTTTATCCCTTAAACCCTAAAACCATGCCTGCTGCAGTATACCTATATAGACAAACATAGGCACCACAAGGGGGCACTCTTACGAGCCATGAACCCAGACCCATCCTGAATCTCATTCTCCAAAAGAAGTGCCCCCAAACACCCAACCCCAAACCCTCAACCCCTAAACCCTAGAACCTGGAAAAGCTAAACCCTAAAACCCTTAACCCTCAAATCCTAAACGCTTAAACTCCGAGACTTTCGACCTAGGGTCGGGGCGCACCATGCAGCCGGATGCCTGAGCAGCAGCTGCCGGTGTCCCTGGAGAAAGTCACTTCAAAGGATCGTGCCAGGAACCTCATTGTACCCTCGCATAGGGTATATGACCCCAATAGCGGGCATTTAGGGTCGAATAGAGGGTAGATCGATGTCAAGGTGGCTTTTGTACGGTGGTGCTTGGTTCTATTTGTGCTTTAAGAGTCCTGAAAGCTGTGGGGTTCTTGAAAAACTGCCGTGAGATGTAAGGTCGAAGGTCTACTTGAAGGGTTGCAGGACCTAAAACAAGTCGGCTACCTCGTTCCAAAGCAGCGCCTCCAAGAAACGATTACACGGTTCAGCTTTAACGGCCAACACAAACATGAACAAACACTGCCCAGTACCTGGAAGCTCTAAGCCTCCTGTCGGGCAGTGGGGGTTTATAGCCTCATGTAGCAGCCTGACTGCCACACCCATGTAGCTCTACTTGGATGAACCTTGAACAAAGCCCCGAAGCTAAAACCCTGCAGCTGATATCGCGAATATCTGGGGATGCTGAAGTGTCTGGGTAGTCAGTGTAGCGAAACTTGGCTGACTTCCGCACCACTCCTAGAAGTTGAGCTCTGCGAGTCATCTCACACATGCTAAACGAACGAACGAACGAACGACAACAACAACAACAACAACAACAAGGTACAAACAAAAACTGCAGCCCCGTCAACCCATATATCTGCTTTTTGTCTGTACATTAGGTAGAGACAAAAACAAGAGCCCCGTCATGTTGTTTTACCCCCCCCCAACAACAACAACAACAGAGTGCCTGTGGATGCCTGTGATGTATACTGTTTGGTGTGTATTTTCAATGGATTTCGTCTGTACTTCAGTGGATTTGGTGTGTGTTTCAATGGATTTCGTGTGTATTTCAGTGGATTTGGTGCGTATTTCAGTGGATTTCGCGTGTATTTCAGTGGATTGCGCGTGTAGTTCAATGGATTTGGTGCGGAGTTCAGTGGATTTGATGTGTATTTCAATGGATTTCGTGTGTATTTCAATGGATTTCGTGTGTATTTCAATGGATTTGGTGTGTACTTCAGTGGATTTAATGTGTATTTCGCTGGATTTGGTGTGCATTTGGTGTGTATTTCAGTGGGTTCGGTGTGTATTTCAGTGCATTTGGTGTGTATGTCAATGATTTTGGTGTGTATTTTCAATGGGTTTGGTGTGTATTTCAGGTCCCCGCCGTGCAGAATATGCATTTGCGAGGCCTGTGCAAACTACTGTATAGTAACTGGTAACTATAGTTTTGAGTGTACGGGTATCCAATGCAAACCCCTCAAAATTCCAGACAAGCCCTTCCAACACCCATCAGAACCCCTTCTGGATATCGCAGATTCTTATACCTGTGGTGGAAATGTGGTGTAATGTGGGCGGTTGTTGTAAAGGGGGGGTGGTCAAAACAACAGACGGGGCTCCAGTTTTTGCCTTTACTACAGGGGGTAGAGACAAAGTCCTGATTTCGCTGGTGCCTTTGTCTCTACCCCCTGTATATAGTAGAGGCAAAAACTGGAGCCCCGTCTGTTGTTTTGACCCCCCCCTTTTACAACAACCACCCAGCCTACACCGCATTTCTATCATGGGGCAGGCAAGGCTTGAACTTCCCAAAACTCTACAGGCACCCTATGTGGTCGCCGGAAGCATTCCCAATTGCTTCTAATTAACAAAAAGTACGGGCTGCTGTTTTTGTCTGTACCAACAACAACAACAACACCAACAGCAGCAGCAGCAGCAGCAGCAACAACAACAACAACAACAACAACAACAACAACAACAACAGCAACAGCAACAGCAACAACAACAACAAAGCCCTGCAGGCCAAATGGTCTAGGGTTCAGGGTTGAAAGCCTACAAGACCCAAAAGCTAGTCAGAAAATAGCAACGTAGAACCTTAAACCCTCTCGACCTCAGGGCTCGCAAGGCTTGAAGCCCTCGACCCTGAGCCGTCAAACATCAGCCCCCAGCATAGAGGTGGGAACCCGTAAAGTCCTTCGCAGTGTAGTGGCGCTCCTGAGGGTAAATCTCTAAAGCCGTGTTTCGATCCTGAATTCATAAGGGAGTTTCCGCAAATAGGGGGCCCTAGTATCCTTATTGCAAGGACCCAGAATGGGGTACACCTACATTTCGGAAACTCCCATAAACACTGCCAGGCGCCGGACTGAAGCCTTGAATCCGAAAGCCCACACCCCAAACCCAAACCCAGCCTGAAACGGCGGAGCGGTTTTTTTTTTTCCTAGGTCTGGCCCTCCCCGGCTTGCTTTCCTAAGTCTGGCCCACTGGTTGTGGTTGCCAACAGCGGCAACTGCGGTCTTTGCTGCATCAAGCTATTGGGGAACTAGAATTTGACGGCTCTGGTTTTGCTTCTGTTTTGCATGAAGCTATTGGGGAACTACAACTTGCGGAGTCTGATTTTGCTTGTGTTTAGCATGAAGCTGTTGGGGAACCACAAGTTGCAGGGTTCGGTTTTCTTTGTGTTTTGCATGAAGCTATTGGGGAGTTCGCATTTGCAGGGATCGGTGTTGCTTGTGTTTTGCATCAAGCTATTGGGGAACTACAATTTGCAGGGTCTTCTTCTGCTTGTGTTGTGCTTCAAGCTATTAGGGAACTAGAATTTGCGGTGTGTTCTTCTGCTTGTGTTTTGCATGAAGCTATTAGGGAACTACAATTTGCGGTGTGTTCTTGTGCTTGTGTTTTGCATCAAGCTAATGGGGGAACTACAATTTGCGGGGTCGGCTTTGTTTGTGTTTTGCATCAAGCTATTGGGGAACTACAATTTGCAGAGTCTTTTATTGTTTGTGTTTTCCATCAAGCTAATGGGGAACTAGCATTCGCAGGGTCTGGTTTTGCTTGTGTCTTGCATGAAGCTATTGGAGCACTACAATTTGCAGGGTCGTGTTTCGCGTGTGAATATTGCGGGATTACAATTTCAAATCTTCTGTCTTGTGTCGTTGTTTTTTGGTGTCGTTGTCGACATCCTCGTCATCGTCGTCGTCATCGTCCTCGTCGTTGCCGTCGTGGTAGTTGTTATTGTTGTTGTTGTTGCTGTTGCTGGTGTTCTTGTTGTTGTTGCTGTTGTTGTTGTTGTGGTTGTCGTGATGGTTGTGGTTGTGGCTGTTGCTGTTGGTGTTGTTGCTGTTGTTGTTGGTGGTGGTGGTGTTGTTGTTGTTTGTTGTGTGTTGCTTGTTGCTTGTTGCTAGTTGTGTTAGTTGCTAGTTGTGTTAGTTGTTTAGTTGTTAGTAGTTAGTTGCTAGTTGCTAGTTGCTAGTTGCTAGTTGTTAGGTGTTAGTTGTTCGTTGCTAGTTGATAGTTGTTGGTGTTAGCTGTTAGTTGTCAGTCGTTGGTTGTTATTTGTGAGTTGTGAGTTGTTAGTTGTTTCTTGTTATTTGTTAGTTGTTTCCTGCTTATTGTTCCTTGTTTCTTGTTTGTTGTTTCTTGAAAGGGGTGAGGGATCAAAAAAAATTAAATAAGGATCAAAAAAATAAATGGAAAGATCAAAAAAAATTAAAATAAGGATGAAAAAAATTAAATCGCTCAAAATACAGCAATTCCTGGGGCAGAGGCATCAAAAAAAATTAAAATAAGGATCAAAAAAAATTAAATCACTTAAAATACAGCAATTCCTGAATTTTTCCCAGGGAAAACACTGTTTTCCTAGGGATTTTCTTTTGTTTCCTTAGGATCTGTTTGGTTTTTCCTCTGGAAAACACGATATTCCTGCGGATTCCAAGTTTTCCTTGATTTTTCGTAAGAAAAAGCCTATTTTCCTCTTACCTATGGCGTTCGTGTCATTTCTTCAGGTTTTCAGAAGGACAACATATGGTTGTTCCTCGGGAAAATCAAATTTTCCTTACAATTTCACATTTAGGGCGGATTTCCTGTTGTAGCTGTTGCTGGTATTCCGCTTCATCATCTATCTTAAACACGCCCCTCATTTGGCGATTCTGGTTCAGCATGTATCTACAAGGGCGGAGACGCCCTCATTTGCTGGGTTTCAAAAAAAGGCATATGCTTCAAAGCAACCCTGCACGGCTTAAAACAGCGGGGGGGTTGGGGGGGGCGCAGCCCCCCCCATTTGCAGAGACAACGTTCACATGATGGGCTTCGAAAACACTCTTTGAATCAAGCTTGCACGTCTCGAAAAGCGCGGCGGCGGGTGTTTTGTTCTTCCGTGCCTGTTCGTGTCTCTTCTTCCGTTAGCATTCTAACCTAATATATATATATATATATATATATATATATATTTATATTTATATATATATAACATAGTAAACGAGAAGAACGACATAAGATGGTTCGACAACACAAAAATGGTGTGACATTTTCTGACATAACAGAACCTTGCTTCTTATAGCATATAATAGCATACTAAGAATACAACAATACAATATAACAGAAGATGACATAGAACAAAACAACATCTTAGTTTATAGTGTAGTACATTGTAACATAGTACAATACAGTGTGTATATTTACAACATAATATGTAGTATATTTATAACATTAGGTTACATTATGTTATATTATGTTACGGTACATTACGATATTATGGTAAATTCGATTGGACTATGTAGTATCCTGTTGCTTGTATCTTTGTTTCTGTGATTATTTCATATTATTTCTCTTTCGTCTTTTCCAACTTTGCTTTTTTATTCTGGACTTTCTTTCTTTCGCTCGTTCAATTCTTTTCTTTCTTTCTGTTGTTCTTTCTTTGTTCATCTCATACTCCCTTCCTTTCTTTCTTGCTTTCTTTCTGGTTTGATTTATTTCGTTCTTTCTTTGGCTCGTTCTTTATTTCGTTCTTGCTTTCGTTCTTTCTTTCGTTTGTGCTTTCGTTCTTTCGTTCGCTCTCTCGTTCTATCTTTCTTTCTTTCTGTTTTCCTTTCTTTCGTCCTCTTTAGATACAGCAATTTTTGAATTTTTCCCAGGGGAAACACTGTTTTCATACGGATTCGTTTTCATTTCCTGAGGATTTGCTTGGTTTTTGCTCGGGAAAACACGAATTTCCTACGGATTCCGTGGTATTTCCTTAAGTTTATTTCTTTAGTTCTTGCTTTCGTTCTTTTTTTTCGTTTTTGCTTTCGTTCTTTCGTTCGCTCTCTCGTTCTATCTTTCTTTCTTTCTGTTTTCCTTTCTTTCGTCCTCTTTAGATACAGCAATTTTTGAATTTTTCCCAGGGGAAACACTGTTTTCATACGGATTCGTTTTCATTTCCTGAGGATTTGCTTGGTTTTTGCTCGGGAAAACACGATTTTCCTACGGATTCCGTGGTATTTCCTTAAGTTTATTTCTTTAGTTCTTGCTTTCGTTCTTCCTCTTGTTTTTGCTTTCGTTCTTTCGTTCTCTCTCTCGTTCTTTCTTTATTTCTGTCTTTCTTTCTTGCCTTTTTAGATACAGCAATTCTTGAATTTTTAAAGCACAATGAAGCGATAATCTTACGTATCGTTCTTCTTTATTTTCCGCGTCTTTCTTGTTCCTTTAACTATTTCCGTGTATCTTCCTTAATTTATGGCCTTCCGTCTTTCTTTGTTTCTCTGTTTTTGTTCTTTGGTTATTTCTTCATTGTTTGTTTTGTTTTTGTTTCTAACTCTCTTTGGTTCTTTCCTTGTGTTTTCTTTTTTCTTTCCTTATAGCTTGCTTTATTTACTTAGTTCTCTATTTTTGTTTTCTTTCTTTACTTGTAGCTTTCTTTATTTACTTATTTCTCTATTTATTGCATGGCTTTCTTTCTTTATTTGTTTATTTCTTTCTTTCTTTTGTTATTTCTTTCTTTCTTTCTTTCGTCGTTTTTTGTTTTTTTTATTTCGTTCTTTCGTTCGTTCTTTCTTTCTTTCTTCCTTGCTTTCTTTCTTCCTTCCTTTCTTTCTTTCTTTCGTTCTTTCTTTCCTTCTTTCTTTCCTTCTCTCTCTCTCTCTGTCTTTCTTTCCTTCCCTTTTCCCCTTCCTTTCGCTGATACCCCTTTAATTTTTTTTGATCCTTATTTAATTTTTTTGATCCTTATTTAATTTTTTGATCCTTATTTATTTTTTTAACCCCTATCCCTTTCTTGATTTGTTGTTTGTTCTTTCTTGTTTCTTGTTAGTTGTTAGTTGTTTGTTGTTAGTTGTGTTACTTATTTAGTTGTTTGTTAATAGTTGTTTGCAGGTTTGAGGGTTCAGGGGTACAGGACCAGGAGAGACCAGGGGACCAGGGAACCAGGGACCAGGGGACGACCAAAGGACCAGGGGACCAGGGACCATGGGACCAGACCTAGCAAGGCCCCCCAGACCAGGCCAGACCTAGGAAAAAAAAAACAGTGGACCCAGCCTGAAACCCGAAACCAAAAACCCATGAAGCCCCAAACCTTAAACCTTAAGACCCCAAACCCCCCTAAAGATGCAAACCTGTCTTCTCTGAAAGCCAGTGAAAATACCTGCAAAAGAATCCTGAATCGTCCGACAAAACCATGAACAGAACTCCTGAAAACATATGCCGAAGCCTGTCAACGTTTCCGCGCTGCAAGAAGAGCTTTCCTCCCTGCGTGCAGTTTCCTCAGAAGGCTTCGGTGGGTGTGGCGCATAGTTGAAAAGGGTCTCATGAAGTTTGTCAGCTCACTGATTTTAGGGATTAGGGGCTAGGGTTTAAGATGGTTTAGCGTTGAAGGTTCAGGGTTTATGGCTCTTAATTACACGAAAACCCCACACCAAAAAAAAACAGAATCCCTGCATTCCCAACTCTCAAAGAAATTTTCAAGTCCTTGGATGGACTTCGTGTCTCTGTGTGTCTGCGTGTCTGCGTGTCTGCGTGTCAGTTTGTCTGTGTGTCTCTGTGTCTCTGTGTGTCTGTGTCTCTGTGTCTCTGTGTGCATGCGTGTGTGTGTGTGTGTGCGTGCTGGGCCAGACTTGGCTGCATTCAGGAGGCAAACGTAAACGAGGAAGCGGAACCAATATGTATGTATTGATATAAATCTGTATACATATGTACACACATATATATATATATATATAAATACGCATACATACATGTATACATACCTATGTGTGCCTATACTGGTTTGTTTGCTCTTCTGTGTATCTATTGATTTGAATCGCCGCCAAGGATCCCAGTGTCCTCCGGCCCAGGCAAAGGCCCGAGGCAACCTGCTTAGGGGCTCAAGGGAATTGGTGAGGGGCCGTAATTCTGTAGAACCAGTAGAAAAAGGTTCTTTCGAAGGTTCTTAGTACATAGAAGATGCTCCTTCTTAGTTCTATTGGTTAGTACATTAGAATACTGTACATGGGCGCAGGTCCTTTAAGGGTTTGAAAATGAAGTTTCTTCAGAGCTTAGATGCTGCGGTCGTCATAATTAAAGTTTTTCTCCGAAGCGGGCATACTGGAGTTGTGTTAGTGAGTCTAGCTTCAGGGTTTACAGGATTTCAGGTTGTGAGGTTTGGGGTTTAAGGGTCTGGGCATTTGAGGCTTATGTGGCACAGCCGGCACTTCTCTGGGCCAGCCACTGGCCGAGCCACCGCCAACCACTGGGCGACCCACGGATACTGGTGAAACCACCTTGTGGGCTTTCGGCCCCGGGGCCTGCAGCTCTCCGTTCTGCACTTTCGCCGCGAACAAATCCAAGACGTGATCCGGGAGCCCCAAATTACGGAGGACCTGCTCGGGATGGCGATTGGCTGTGGCCATGGCCACCGCCACCGCCTGCCGTGAATTCCCTTCTCGTCAGTTGCCAAGCTTTGGCCCAGCCTGGTGGGCGCAAGGTCCTTGGACACATTGTGACAGCCTTGATGTGACACAGACAAGTCAACGATTTTATGTTTATGAAAGACGCGGCCCGGCAATTTAACCGCGGTGACTCTTACGGGGATTGGTGTGGGTTCGGTTCGGCTTCGGCACGTGCTAACCGCAAACTGTTACTGGCGAGGGTTGGGGCGGGACGGGGCTGCCACCCTCGCGTGTTGATTCAAGCGTGCAGTCCTTACCCGCAGTTTTCGGTCCTGTCTGCTGCGCATGTCTCTGCCGGACCAGTCCTGACAATGCTGCTTTGTGCCCAGGCGAATATTCCACATGTCCCCACCATGCGTGGGACCCACCCTCGTGCGGTCTTCTTCAAATTTGCCCCGGCCCGTGTGGCCGCGCGGTGCCCGACAGGTGCGGGACCCGTTCGAGTATGAACTTCTTGGAATTTGCAATCCCATTCGTGACAGAGCCAGAGTTTCTGCATGTGTCCCGACAAGCACGGGACCCTGGTGAGCTGAGCTTTCCCTCCCCAGTGTGCATTGCACGGGTTCTCCTTGCCCGATCACCCATCACACAGCTCCAGTACCAACACTACCACACAACGACGAGCCTGACCTCATGGGACACTGCTAACTCCACTAGTTCAAAGATGCAATCGACCACTTGCGCGAGATAGCTCTCACGGCCTGGAACTCTTTTGAAGCCAGAATTTTGGCTATGATCGTAAACATCGCAACAGTCCCGAGCCCGAGACGTTTAGATCCAATCGTGACAAAGACATATGTGCATATGCGGTGTGGCACTGTTTTTTGATGCTGATTCCCTAAAAGTCTACACATGCACGCACGGACGCAGAAAGATGCAGTAATATGCAATACAATAGATACATTATTGGGCACGACTGTTTTTCGGCATGTGGCCCACCACCATTCTACACACATTCTCCTCTTGGACTTAGAAGGTTTCCCACCCATCATCCGCGTTTAGGTTTAGGAGATACCTATGTTTTCGTACCCGGCATCACGTCTCAGCGTTTCTTAGCATTCGACCAACATCTTAAACGACAAGCCCGCAGGACCAGGGGACGAGAGGACCAGGAAGGACCAGAAAAACAAGCATCTCTCAAACATCAAAACTGCAACAAAAAGCTTCAGCACAACACGAAATGCCTTTGGGACCAACTCCTGTCGGCGGCCCTAAGCCAGTGCTGTCAGAACATGTGCTGCGCTGACGACTGTGGGAGCATGAGCATCCGGCGGGCGCTTTACTTTACGCCCATTCAACCACGGCTGCTGCATGAGCAGCTCGAACCTGAATTGCAAGCCGCCGATCACACTTGCATTTTTTCGTCGGCACCTGAGTTCCTCCAGTCCCTGATCGTTGGGGGAGTGGATTTGGATGTAGCCTGAGCTCATCATCGAGCGACCCATCAAACATAAACCTGATATTACACCTGCTCTGCGAGTGTTGCTGGCATCTCCGGGCACAGATGTTTAATTGGCACATCAAAGGCTGCCCCTAACAGTGATTCCAGCAGGAATGTCTCTTTGTATAAGATTGCGAACCTGCCGAAGACCCTTGCAGTGTAACCTGCTTGTAAGGGAAGCAGTCGCCGGTGCTTCGCTCCCCAGCAAAAATGGCACGGGGAACGCAGAAACATGCATGCGACGACGCAGGCAGGTTGTCAAATGTGCTGGGCCCACCGAACAAACATGGACAGCCATGGCTTGCTGTTTATACACGCATGCGATGGTTTATGCACTCTTGCTTGGGCCAAGTAAACACATTGCACCATCAGTCGGGTTTCGGCTTGCAAAGCCACAAAGCGGCGTGCTACTGTTTTTAGATTGGGATTGCTCCTGTCCTGCACTTGGGGCGAGCATTTCACGGGTACCTGCTACAAGCACCTCTACCCCGACGCGAGCCCTTCAATCCTCGACCGTAGATGAAACACATTTGAGAGGGCAACGCCTGAATACTGCATGTCCGCTTGACTTCGCGACTCACATATTTGGGCACTAGCCTGCAGCTCAGATTCTGTGTTGTTGTTTTCATTCCTACTGACTGCTGGTTTCTTGTGTGTTGCATGTGTCTCTTCGCTTGGAAATGCCCTCATCGCAGCCCTTCCCCGAGGCTCCTCGAAGCTCGAGGTTCGGATCGACCGCATCGAGCTTCCGAGCTTCAAGAATTTCGTAAAAGCTCCGAGAACTTCTGCCGATCGGCACACGCAGCTGCGGCTGCCTGCGTGTCTCGAGCGGTGTTTTCTGTCTTCGCAAGGGCACCCCCAGCACTTCGCAGGATTGGTTCACTGCGCATGTCAGTCCACACAACGGGCTGGGCCCACCCGGGCCAAAACTGCGTTCATGCAACCACACATTTCAGGGAGACTCATCGGGACTCATCTGTGCGATTCTCACATGTACACGGGAAGAGCTGCTCGCAGTTTTGAAGCACGTGGGCTGTTGATGTCATGGCCAGGTAAAGCGAAGCCCCACCAGAACCCTTCAAAGGATTCTAAGCATAGCATGCCTGGCACTCTATGAAAAATCACGCCAGTGCAAAGTGCCAGGCGTTGTGGCAGCGCCAGGCGTAAAAAATGTGCACTCACCGTGAATGTCACATAAGGCCACGGCATGTCGTCCATTTCATCAAGGATTGCCCCGATGCCAGCACAAGCCTACCCACAGCACAGATTCCGCGAAGCGGCTTGCATCAGCTGATGTGGCACATCAATGTCTTTCAAAATGTATGAAAATATAATTGCGGCCTGGAGGTTCGCTTCAGACCAAGTCTGCGAAACCTTGCCCAACACAACATCTGCATCTTTAGCATGCCCACGTGTCATGAAGCTTGCTGCGTGAATCTGTTCGCTGTAGCCAGAACGGAGCACTGAACTGAAACCGCTGCTCAACAGAGAACTCGGCTGCGCACATCTTGCGAGCTCACTGGAACGGACGAGGAGCTAGAGCTAGACGCAGCCTTGACATGTGCTCTTTGCAGAAAGGGACTTTCCTAACTTATGAACTGTTTGCGCTCAGGACATAACAGACTGATCGCGAGCATGTAGCTCTGCTGTCCTGGGCACAGAAAGTCACAAGACCCTGCGGCAGCATCATGGCAGCATGCATTACTGCCCATTCGATCTGGTCCGCTGACATCTCTAACAAGCCAGGCCAGGGCAACTGTTGAACGGCTGTCCATAACACTGCGCTTGCACTCTCTGGGTTTGGCTTGGGCTTCAAGGACTCACTTCGCAACGAATGCCTTAAACAAGAATCGGCCTGGAGCCATGTTGAAAGCTTACATTTATCAAAGGTCTCGTTGACTCTGCTGCCAGGGGCCGGCACATAAGACTGACCCAGATTGTGCAGACTTATTCTCGCCAAGGGTTGCCAACTGCTTGGTTTCCTTGACGCTCTCCTCCAAAAGGCACCCCCAGCACTTCGCAGGATTGGTTCACTGCGCATGTCAGTCCACACAACGGGCTGGGCCCACCCGGGCCCAAACTGCGTTCACGCAACCACACATTTCAGGGAGACTCATCGAGACTCATCTGTGCGATTCTCACATGTACACAGGAAGAGCTGCTCGCAGTTTTGAAGCACGTGGGCTGTTGATGTCATGGCCAGGTTTACAAAATCAAAGCCCCACCCGCACCCTTCACAAGGTTCTAATAAGCGTAGCATGCCTGGGCGATCCTGGGCGCAAAAAGCACATGCTACAGTCGGGCACTCACCGTGAATGTTACATAAGGCCACGGCATGTCGTCCATGTCATCAAGGATGGCTCCAGCACAAGCCTACCCACAGCACCGATTCCGCGCAATGGATTGCATCAGCTGATGTGGCACATCAATGTCTTTCAAAATGTATGAAAATATAATTGCGGCCTGGAGGTTCGCTTCAGACCAAGTCTGCGAAACCTTGCCCAACACAACATCTGCATCTTTAGCATGCCCACGTGTCATGAAGCTTGCTGCGTGAATCTGTTCGCTGTAGCCAGAACGGAGCACTGAACTGAAACCGCTGCTCAACAGAGAACTCGGCTGCGCACATCTTGCGAGCTCACTGGAACGGACGAGGAGCTAGAGCTAGACGCAGCCTTGACATGTGCTCTTTGCAGAAAGGGACTTTCCTAACTTATGAACTGATTGCGCACTCAGGACATAACAGACTGATCGTGCGCATGTGGCTCTGATGTCCTGGGCGACGACATTCACAAGACTTGGCAGATTTGGGTTTGGAAGCCGGTTCCATCACTCGTACACTTTGCAAAGACTGTGTTGAACAAGTGGCCGGCCCTCAAAGAGTCAGCCAGGAAACTCTGTGTACACTTTCGTCTTGTTTGCTTGTTGAAAGGTGTCTTGCCTCTGCTGCTGGCTTTTTCACACGCGGCCACTGCACAAAGCC